CAGGTCATGAGAGCAGAGCTCTCATGAATGAGATTAATGCCCTTAAAAAAGAGAGTTCCGGGTCGGCCGAGTGGCTCATTGGTTAAGATTTGGCTTGGGAGCGCGAGCTCTGAGCAGCAGGGCTGCCAGTTTGGATCCCCCATGGGAAAGAGATGCTGCGCCCGAGCTGAGCTGCCGCTGAGTTGGTGAGAGCGCGTGCTCTTAGCAGCAAGGATGCCGGTTCAAACCCTGCATGGGATGGTGGGCTGCACCCACCTGCAACCAAGATTGAACACGGCACCTTGAGCTGAGCAGCAGGCGAACTGCCGACAGGAGGCTGGATGGCTCAGTGTGCCACAAGGTTGCCGGTTCACCTCCCACATGAGATGGTGGAGTACACCCATCCACAACTGAGATTGAAAGCAGCGACTGGACTTGGAGCTGAGTTTGCGCCCTCCACAACCAAGATGGAAGGACAACAACTTGACTTGGAGTTGATGGGTCCTGGAAAAACACAATGTTCCCCTTCCCCAATCCCCAACACTGTTCCCCTCCCCAATTCCCCAATAAAAATCTTTTTAAAAAAACACAAAAAACAAAGAGTTGCCTTGCCCCTTCCACCGTGTGAGGACACAGCAAGAAGCCAGCAGTCTGCAACTGAGAGACTTCACCAGAACCCAAACATGCTAGTGCCCTGATCTTGGACTTCCAGCCCCCAGAACTGTGAGAAATATATTTGTGTTGTTTATAAGCCACCCAGTCTGTGGTATTTTATTATAGTAGCCTGAATGAATTAAAATAGGCTAGTAAAAACCTATGCTAGACTATTTCTAAGAAACAGTATTGGCCAAAAAACAAAACAACAACAAAAACTGCACGTCTCAAGGCAAGAACCATCCAGAGAACCAAGATGCAAAGAAATGCACCTAAGAAATAATATATAACTGTAAAAAATAAACTATGCATGAGAACACCAATTGCTGTTATCTTTTTCATAGTAGAGAAAAACAATTTCTTCATAACTAGTGTGTAGTAAAGAAACTTTCAATAAAGCAAAACTTAGGTAAATGAGGCAGTCACCCGGCTTCCCTTTCAAAGGGATAGGAGAGAGCTGACAACAATAAAATGCTTCTAAGCTGAATGGCCCTTATATCCAAACTGGTCCAAAGATAAAATACTCAATATACTCAAGATAACACAGTGAAAGGGATTAAATGTCCCATAATCTGCCCAAGAATAAATTCATTTTGCTTGGGGTTTTATTTTGTTTTTAATGTTTCTCTGGTCATTTAACAAGCTACCAAGAGGACTTCTGAGACTGAAGGGGCAGAGACTCTCACCCTACCCTTCCCCATCCCCAGCCAAATCTACAATCTTGGACACCAGGCAACAAATGAAGGTCCTGAGGGGGGTTGGTGAAGAGGGCTCTGATTCTGGGTGAGAAGGAAAGAATTAGAGCCTAATCCAAAAGATCCTGCACCACTACATCCAAAACCAGGAAGAACCATTTTTGCTCTCCAAAACTAAACTCAAGTAAGCTAGCTCCATGACTAATTTTTAGCCAGACATTTTACTTAGAGCAGGAATCAGCATATGATGGCCTGTGGGTCAACTCTATCAGGTTTTTGTAAATAAAGTTTTCCTAGACACAGACACACAGTCATTTATTTCCGTATTGCCTATGGCTCTTTTACACTACAATGACAGAGTTGAGTAGTTGCAGCAAAAAACACACCTCCTACAAAGCAAAATAATATTTACTATTTCACTGTTTAGAGACAGTTTGCTGACCACTAATTTAGAAGAAAAGAACACTTAGCTATTATTCTTTGAAGAGCATTCAGTAGAGTGACTATAGTTTAGTTCAGCAATCAAAGGAGTCCATCTCTGATATCCTTTCCTCTAATTTATGAAAGATGCTTTTTGCCATCTTGATGCAGGGATCATTTGTGTGGGGTCTATGACTTGGCAGCTGAAGAGCCTAAACTAATCACTATCCATTCCTATTTAATAAGTTTTTCAAATTTAGTATCAGACTTCAGATCACAACCACCATACAGACTCATCATTCTACTCCCTTGCTTGCTCATGCAGTGAATAGCCCCAGACTATCTGATAGGATGGAAACATTGTTTTTTTCTTTTATATTTAGCATATAAATATTTTGATGTGCCAGAATCACTTAGGGAGCAAATGACTATCATTTAATTAAAGGATGATAAATAAGGATTTCTCCTTATTCAACCAAGTACACTGAAATGTAAATGTATCTAAAATGCATACCTCTCAAACTAGATATCCGCTCTGCCAATGGCTACTGAAGATCAGAACTGATATAGCTCTGTATGAGGTATTATCTGTCTAAATGGCTCCTGAGGAGAACACAATGTGAATAAACAAGGGGAAACATCCAAAAATGCCATGAAAAATAGGACGCCATGTCAGTGAACCGCTCTGGCCAGATGAGACAAGGCCTTTACAGAGTCTGCATTGAAGGGGAATCCAATACATTCTAACACTCATTGGAATTAGAAGTCTTGGCCTCAATTTTCGTATCAATGAAAAATTCATTTTTCAGACAATGGGGGGAGATCAGGGAGTCAGCTAGCCAGACAAAAACAAACACTGAGCCAGGAAGATGAATTTTCTAATATCCTTCATGTTGGGAAAAACTAGGCTAAGAATCACTATAAACTCTACTAGAAAGGGGAGAAAGATGCCTTCATTTTTAAAACAAGCATTTATTTATTCAACACCTATGTACCAGGCACTGAGGTCAGAGGTCCTAAAAAAAACTGACAAAAACCTTTGTTCTCATGGAGCTTACATTCCAATGGGGGACAGGCATAAAATACATTGCATGTTATATGGTGGTAATTCCTCAGAAGAAAAAGAGTGAATGACAGGGAGTGTTGAGAGGGGTGGCCAGTGAAGGCTGCACTGACTAAAAGGCGACATTTGAGTGCTTCTGGCCTAGCATGCTTTGTAGTACGGTTGATGGACTAGAACAGAAGTTTAGCCCAAGAAATCAAATTGTTTATATTCATGGAATATCCATGTGTATCATGAGCTTGCAGTTGTGATTGCCGCTATTCTTCAGAGACAGTAACAAGTTCAAGTAAAGAAAGTAGTATACATTTTCCTGGTTAGATAAAAAACATATGTCCAAGAAAATCCCTCTTTGAAATGCTCCCAAAGTAACAAAGGACTAAAAGTGTATAAACTCACAAGGACAAAAAATAGAAACAGATAGACAAGAGATGTCAACAAATAGGCAGATAAAGTAAAAACAAAAACAGCTAATGAGCTTATAGAGCACATACTTTTTATGTACCATCTTAAAGTACACAGCAGGATACAAGGAAAGACACATCTATAGTAAAGCAGTACTGACAAGTATCTCAAGCTAGATGAAAGTACTGCAGGAAAAATGTAGAGCCTACCATGGAAAGAACAGAAAGGAAACCTACAGGAGGATTTTTTTTAAATAGGTCACTGCCACACAGGTAAGCAAGAGCCCTGCAGCCCTGGAGGGCTGCCAGTCTTGCTGTAGGCTGACAACAGGAGGAAGTAGCAAAGAGCATAGTAAATCAACTGCAGAACTAGACTTACTTCAAAGAAAAGGGCAAATTTAAACTAAAAGCTCCTTACCTTCTGTACCTGTTAGTCACCCAAAGCCTACATTAAAAACAGAAATGACTGCATAGGTTTCAAGTGTAAAATTCTATAAAACATCATCTATATATCGCATTATGTGTTCACCAGCTGGAGTCAGTTCTCCTTCCATCACCATATATTTGACCCCCTTTCCTTTCTTCTACCATCCCCTATCCCCCTTACCCTCTGGTAACCACTAAACTGTTATCTGTGTTTTGTTGACCATTGTCACCCCAATAAATTTTAATAAAAAAACAGAAATGACTGTAATAAATCTAGTTTTATCTGGGTCCCTACACATAGCATTGGAGGAAGGGGATAAGGATTGGAACACCTCCTCTCTCTCTCTTAGTCATACATATATTTCAAAAACAGAGAAAAAACTGAGAAGTTGAGTATAACCACCCACTAAAATATAACCAGTGAAGCAGGAAATATGACTTATCCAACAGGTCTCAAAACCTAAGTCATCTAGCTGTTGCAAAATCTTCCTAAGACAGCACAATAACTAACAAATAATAACAAAATTTCTTTCTATTGTTGAAAAATTGGGATATTACCCTATTTTCTACCATTCATTCCTTCTTGCTATAGAAGCCAACTATTTCCTCCAAATGCTCAATGCAAACAGAAGAATAAATTCTTAATGCCTTAAGAAGTACAAGTTGGTAGTTAAAAAAAAGTTACAGGGATGTAAAGCACAGCACAGGGAAAATAGTCAATAATATGGTAATAATTATGTGTAGTGCCAGGTGAATACTGACTAGCCTTAAATTATATAAATGTCTAAACACTATGCTATACATCTGAAATTAATATCAAATAATATTAAAACAATAAAATCCACAAAAAAGAATAAATTATATTTAAAAGGTAGGAAGAATAACACTTTCCTATCTGTTACATTTTTACATCTGCTGCACTTACTTTAACAGAGCGCTGTAAATATAAAATAAGGTGTGTATCAAAGTCCCTTGTAAAGGTATTTTTTAAATCAAATTCTAAAGAACTAAACATCTCCACATTTCCAAAGTTCACACCAAAGATTTTATTATAGTTTCACATTTGCTTACTTATTTTCTTTTTGCTATAAGATTATTGAGAAATAATTAAAAACAAATAATAGAACAGAATCTAACAGAAACACCACAGGTAACAGGGACAAAAAGATTTCTCATAAATATCATCCCAAATTTATTAATGATAAAATATTAAAAGTACAAGCTGGACACTTCTCTCATTACTTACTTTTTTAAAAAGTTAGGGCATGCACACAGTTCTTCTTTATGAATATTATCCACAGTTTAGAAAAATTATCTTTGTAACACATACTATATATATATATATATCAATATGTATCTTACCTATTAAAGATTTGATATTTTCTAAGATTAAATCACTAGTAATATTTCCAGATAAATCTTGCCCCAATTCAGCAATCAGTTTGGCATAACCTTCATTCTCTTCTCTTAACAAATTGAATTTTTGCTGCTTATAACTGAAAGTAGATAAACATCATAAAGGGGATAAAATTAATTTCAATTAACAAGTTTACATAAGAGTAATGCATTCTTCTCATTGAATTTTCTTATCTCTCTTATACATATTGGGTCACTGGGAAAGTCATGATGCATTTTTGCATTGAAAAACAAAAAAATACATCATGACTTTCCCAACGACTCAATAACAATCAAAAAAATAGTTGTGGAAAGTTTACCTCTTTGTATATCTTTTAGGATAGAAAAGAACAGTGGTTCATAAGAGACACCCCAATGTTAATTACATAGAGAAAACCAGTAACACAAGGAAAGGATATTGCTAATCCCAAGAAACAATAACATATCACTATTTCCCTCACTGACTAAGAATATACCCTAGAATATAGCCACAGTTGTAAATTATTTTACTGGTAATAATAAAAGCACTGAATATTATTTTAACTTCTAATATGGAAAAAAAATTAACATTGGTTTCACACAGGTAACGTTCACTGCTGCCTCAATCACAGGCTACTTTTAAAAGGAAAAAACACAGGACACATGCTAACAGTAACAAATAATCTTCAAACTGCCTTCGGAAATTCCTAGAATTTAAAATTAGAACAAACACATACTCAGGTACTTGATCTGCAACATAAAAATATATATGTACTTACAAGAGCTTTGTCTTGATTTTAACTGACTTTTGATTGAATTGCTGTGATTGTTTGATAAGCCCTAATGATTCCAATGTTTCTGGATCCAAGCGTTCCTTTAGAACTGTGTCTGAAACTAAATACTGTATTAAAAAATATTAAAGGCCATTTATTACTCAGAATTCCAAGTATGCATCCACAATCTTAAATATACTCAAAGTAATTAATAAAAATATTAAAATCACATTATGCATACCAAATTATAATTTTTAAAACACTAGGAACTTCAACAAAAATGATGACTCCAAATACTGAAAAGTGTAATATATAGCTCTTTTTTTAAACTTGCTTAAAAAGTATATGCATGCTGTACACGGCCTACAATTGACAAGAATACTGATTAAAGCTGAGTCTGTCAACTGAACTTTCTTCAAGATAATATAGCACTTAAAACTTCCTTGGTTTCTACAGTTTGTAAAATGAATACTAGTACAACAAAGACAAGGACATTCTTCAGGTCTGAGTAATGGCATTTCTCCTTGGTTCTAAATTTATGAACATAAAATGGTTTACTAAATAATGATTATAACAAGTTTTAGAATTTATTATTTTTAAACTACCTCCATTATTTTTCTCATTGCCTACTAAAGAGTTTATGAAACATTGTTCACTTTAAAAGCTGTTCACATCATTTCTACTCACTTAATAGATGCTTACCTTTTATTTAGTTAGAAAATTAGTAGGTCAGGAATACCACGAAAGGTTTTATATTTGTATAGATAGTTTAAGCAATATGGTAGCATCCCAATTTCATTGAAATAATTATCATGTCTAATTTTACAAAGCATTCTATTGCAAAACCCAAATCTTACCTTATAATGAATAGTCAATTGAATGTCAATATCCTTCTCCATTAACGTGATTAACTGCATTTACAATTGTTCAATGTAAAATTTAGAAGGAAAAGTATTTTTTAAACTTACCAAACATGCTAATACCAATTGTGTAAAATAGTCTCTTTTGCTTTTCTCTTCTAAACAATTTGTCTCAATATCTATGACAAAGGAAAAAGAAATGAAAGTGTGATTGATTTTTCTACTCTCTCCAGCACTATAATAAGATCCTTATTTTCTTTAAAACTAGCTTATTTTAAAATGCCTCATTCTGAATTGGAAAAAGATTTTTAAACTTTGGTAAAGTCTAAGCTCTCCTTCATATGCATATATAAGCTTAGCATTAATTTCTCCTGATCCTGGAGACTGACCCTGTGACCAATGAGATATCCATTAAATGGTGAGTTGATTACAAAGAAGCTATGTGCTATGGCATGGAAGCAACAAGGTTTCAAAAAAAATACTGTTTTCAGAAATGGAAGCATTCAAGCAAAGTTTAAATGACCACATGTCAGAGATGCTAAATAATAGATTCCTTCCTTAGGTGGAAAGATGAACTGGGTGACAAGGAAGACCTCTTCTAATATGAAATATTCTATTACTCATAAAGATGTAACCCTTGATGCTGGCCACCATGTACCACATTCTAACCAGGCTACCTTGCCACCAAATCTATGAAAAGATAGTATTAAAATATGTTTTTGGGCCAGCTGAGTGGCTCAGTTGGTTAAGAGTTGGCTTGGGAGCACGAGTTCTGAGCAGCACGGCCCCGGTTCGGATCCCACATGTGGGCCAGTGACGCCGCTCCCTCTATAGCTAAGATGGTGAACAACAGCTCGACCTAGAGCTGGGCTGCCGTGAGTGAACGGCATAGGCTGCAGTGGGGCTGCAGTGGGCTGCCATGAGCTACCATGAGAGGCCGGCAGCCAGCGTGAGTGGCCAGCGGCTGGCAGCCATGAGCCACTGTGAACTGCTGTGAGCGGACGTCCAATGGCTGGTGACTGACTGCCTCAGCTGGTAAGAGCGCAATGATAATACCAACATGGGCCAGTGAAGTGACATCCTCCACAACTAGACTGAAGAACAAAAGGACAGCAACTTGTCTGTTCCCCTTCCCTGATTCCCCAACGCTGTTCCCCTCCCCCAATTCCCCAATAAAATATTTTTTAAAAAAGATGTTTTTAACATCTTATTTTGAATTACAATTTTAGGTAGCAAACAAATTTATTCAAGATTGTTTTCTTCCTACTTAAATATATTTTTTAAAAACCTGAGATATCCTTGAGCTTCAGTAAATTAGTCAAACAATTTTCTGATCTTAAGTGTGGAGGAATAAAAGAATTAGCTCTAAATGCCAAGCGCCAAAGATTTCAACCAGGATTGGCAGGATTACAAGATTGAGCTCAAAATCATTGTTTTAACTGATTACATACTATTGTCCTATTTTTAAATAAAGTCAACTCATAATGTAGAATGTGCTACAGAAAGAGGTACCAATTTTAGTGATGTAATAAAAATTGTCCTCAAAGGGTTCTAGGGTTCTCCCCAAACAGATGTCCTACCACTGCTTTGCTTCAGTTTACCTTCTATTGCCATCACTGAGAATCAAAGGAGAAGGACATTTATCATCAAACACATCTACATTTTCCTTGTCCTTCTCCACTTTCCCTTCTTGGACAGTTCCATTTCCCAATATTCTGGCCATTGTAACTGAGCACACAGTCATCTCAAGTGTATTAAAAGAATTTCAGGTGTAATTTATGCAATGTAAATTGCTGTAAAATCTCAGTCTCTCAATAATATTTTTAATCTGTGTATATCTCATCAATCCCTTCCAGGAACTCCTAACTGTCACCCATCATCTGGTATTCTGGTCCCTCCTCAGCCTAGATCTTCAAGGGTACTGACCTGTTTAGTCGGGACTAAACAGGGCCCATTCTTTTATCCAACATCTATCTACCGTCCAAGGCCTTAAAGTCCCTAAGATCTCCCAGCAAAGTTCCTAAGATCAGAGCACCTGAGTAGCAGGTTCACCCTCTTTGAGTCAAGTCTGTTCTCCTCTTAGCCATCTGACCTGATTAAGATACCATTCCCTAGGGCCAGCCGAGTGGCTCAGTTGGTTAAGAGCTCGCTCAAGAGTTTGAGCTCTGAGCAACAGCGGTTCGAGTCCAGCCCGAGCTGAGCAGCCGCTGAGCTGCCAACAGGTAGCAGGATGGCTCAGCTTAAAAAAAAAAAAAAAAGATACCATTCCCTGGGTTCTGACCATGTTCGGAAATACTTAATTAGGACCTCAATAAATTTCTTAGCTGAGCTATCTCAACAATCAATACAGAAGTCTTAGTATCCCAATTATGTTTTCCCTATTTTCTTAATCCTTTTTTGTCCTAACTCATGAAACCATTCTAACAAATTCATTCATTATCCCTGACCTCTCAACCTTAAAAGAGTACCTAATAAGTTCTCTTTAATTTCCTCCATGATTTTACTAAAATGCTCACAGCCATTTCCAACTCTAGGTCCCAGCATCACCAAGCACCTGCCCAAGCTCAGAGGTCCCATTAGCACATCAAGTTATATCAGACTCCCCCTTTCAGGTTAATATAGATCTCAGCCCCCCTCACCCTTACATGATTGGTCTTTTAAAGAAAATTGTTATTATCTTAACTAGGAAGATACAGCACTCATTTGTCATATCTGCTAAAATATTATTAAAACAACATGATGTAGTAAAAAGATCATGGGCTCTGGAATAAAAAAGAATCAGGTTCAAACCCTGCTTTACTGGCTACATGGCCTTAAAAAAACTCACTTCTCTGAGCTTCAATTTTCTCATCTATACATCTACCTTACACAAGTTGCTGTGAGGATTAAAAGGTAATTAAATGTTTTTTGTTGTTGTTGTTGTTTTTTAAGATTTTTTTATTGGGGAATTTGGGGGATGGGAACAGTGCTGGGGAATTGGGGGAAAGGGAACAGACAAGTTGCTGTCGTTTTGTTCTTCAGTCTAGTTGTGGGGGACGTTGCTTCACTGGCACAAGTTGGCACCATCATTGCGCTCTTCCCGGGCGAGGCAGATCAGTCGCCAGCTTCTGGACGGCCGCTCACTGCGGCTGCTGGCCGCTCACGCTGGCTGCTGGCTACATATGGTAGCCCATGGCAACCCACTGCCACAGAGGCTGCAGCCTACACCGTCACTGGCGACTCACAGCAGCCCAGCTCCAGGTTGAGCTGTTGTTCAGCATCTTAGCTGTGGAGGGCAGTGTCACTGGCCCTCATATATGGAATCCGAACCGGAGCTCTCTGGCGTCCCAAGCCAGTTCTTAACCATCGCGCCACTCGGCCGGCCCGGTAATTAAATGTTTAATACAATGCCTAGAACATAGAAAGTGCTCCAAAAATGGAACCTATATTATTACTATTATCATCATGATTATCATCATTGTTATTATTAGAGATAGCTCAGGTTCTTACTCCTATCCCCCTACCTTGATTTGGGGTCACCTTTGGATCATGTTTTTTCTGCCAAGGGTTGGGGAGTGGGTGAGTGAGGGGGGCAGATGAGGGAAATTCTCTTTCCAAGTGTGCCGTCCTAATCTTGCTTGTAAAAATAGGCTGGATAGGCTAAAAGAAATTTCCTAAGAGCAACCAAACATCATTTTCATGAATTCATGTTACTAGTAAAAAGCAATGACTTGTAACAATAATCCATATTACTAAATAACTATGAAGGGAACTATATCCTAATAAATTAAGTCAATAAAGTAATTACTGGTACTAGTAAGCGGATAATTATTGATTACCCCCAAAAGACATAAAATATACTCCTGACACTATCAAGAAATAACAGCTTCCACAAAATGTTACCTACAAATCATTTTCAGTCTTACAAATTTGTAGTAAAAATAATTTTTAATTGAAACTTGTTTCATGTTAATTTGTACTGTAATGTAACGTCTGTAGTGCCTGCTTTAAAAATTAAGCTTAAAGGGTTTTATTTATTGTTGGCATAAATAAATCAATCCAATAGATACCATGAACATATACTTTATGATCCAAACCAGGACAGTTTTAAGACTGAAAGAAGATACTACTAATAATTATGCCAGAGAAAACAAAACAAGACTGGGACATATGGTCATCCCATGTATAGTCTCTTCTTTTCATTTCTCACTCAAATTCCACATACATTATAACCTGTTCCTAACATTACTGCTGTTATGACATCTTAAACATCCTGAAAGATGAAGTATCAGGCATTTAGATTTGTTTAGATCAAATTCCAGACTCTCAGTAAGACATTTAAGTAACCCATCTAATTCTAGGAATTAAGATTAATGAGCTAAAGTAATTCATTCCAACTTGACAAACTCTGAGGTTAAGCCTTATTTTAAAGTGAATACTATAATATAATGTCTGGTCATGTTTGTTTTTCTTTTCTTAATTTATTAAATTCATTGGGGTGACATGGGTTAGTAAAATTATATAGGTTTCAAGTGTACAATTCTATAATACATCATCTGTATACTGCATTGAGTGTTCACCACCCAGAGTTTGTAATTTTCCATCACCATATATTTGATATGTTTTCTACTAGACCAAAGTTATAGAAAGCATAAGAGTGATGGGGAAAACTGTGCTCAAAGTTATTCCAACATTTCAGATCTAAAATTAGAGAAATAAATTTGTAATATATATATATTTTTTAAATCCATACTTCCCATGGAGGGGCACTACCTTTGGCTCTAACTCAAAGAAATATTCCTTTTTTATATTGTACGAATTCTTATTTACTCTGGCAAATAGAGAAGTTCTTATTTCCAAAGCTGGTTTCTCATCCTCAAAACAAAACTAGTTTTGATTACTTTGGCTCTTCTTGCTCTTCCCAAAATTAAGAATAATCAGAAGAGTAAAATATTAAATATTTCTTGAGTGTCCTAAGTTTGAGATTCTGACATTCATTGATAACCTGCATTGAGTAAGATAATTATGTGGTTATTAAGTTAACTTCAGAAAATTTGATTTCTTTACTTGAAATGACTTAATTTAGCTCAATTTTATAAAGATACATTCTTAAAAACTCAACCTATTTGAATTACAAACTAAAACTATTTAAAGCTGGTTTTTAACAGAGATTATGCTCACATTTTACGTATAATACTACATTCTGTATAAAGTGAAAAAAACATATATTCTTGATTTGTAGAAACATTTGTGTATTTGTAAAATCCTTAGTTTGAAAGGAAACATTCTACTTAACACAGCACATTAATTTACCACACAGCACTTTTCACGGTAAAATAAAGGCTTAATACTTACCTAATATGCAGAATACATCAGCAAGAATGGAGGGCATATCCTCACGAAATTCCTAATTTTAAAAATATAATTATTCATAGTAAATACTAGAATAGCACACTACAAAGTATTATGGCTTCAGAATAACACTCTTCAGTAAAACTTAAAAACTAACTAAACCTCAGTACCACTATGTTGACAAATAAAATTCTTCAAGTTTCATAATATAGAGAAAATAAAAAGAGGGAGACAATGATTGGGAAAACATTTTTAAATGTCTATCACGAAATAACTTGATTAAAAAACAGAAACCTAAACAAGCACCTCAGGAAATAGTAAGAGCACAAATAAGTAACATTTTTCCAATGAAGTTTCATGTTAGAAGCCACTGGAATTTGAAGTACCTCACACCTACTTAAAGCAAGACTGTTAAAAGGGTACTTTTTTCATCCAAAACTTTAAATGTTGTACTCATGCCAGAGCCAACACTGATTTATGCAAAAATCACAGTGGTATCAGAAGAACAGAAATCTAGAAATTACAAAAAAAATTACAAGCTGTTGTTCCATAATTCAAGATTCTCTAAAGATAAAAAATAACTACCAAAAATCTATCTTTATTTTCTTTATGCACTGATATTTATAGCCTTTGAAGAAATTGACCCAAAATTCTCCCCTCATTTCTGGATGAAAATTTCAGCACTTCCCACTCCCCTGCCCAATTTAAGAGCCATTTTTCATTAGTAAGGATCATAGTTCAATTATTGCAATTAGTTTGCTGGCACTACAGCAACCCTAAAATTAGCCTATTTTCAGAGACTAAAGGAAAGAAATTTAATTCTAAAGAACAAATTGGCATCTATAAGAGATATGCAAGATATGCTTTTGTGAGTAAGAAACGGGATAGTGCAATATGAGACTATGAGAAAGCCATGACAAAGATAATACAGCTGCAGAATATGAATATATATGAGTATATCACTAAGGACTCAAAGGAAAGAGGAAGGTACGTAAGAACCAAATACACAGTAAGTTCATTTGGACTATTCATTTTCAACAAATGGGAAAGTATTCGACTCAGGTTCCATAACCACATTAAACTCTACATCAACGCACAATTTACAGAATGAAATAACCTTAACTGTCAACCAGACTTCTGTCTCAAGTTTCTTAAAAGCTATGAACTCTGGCTATGTCTACGTGAACGCAAGTACTCAGGCTACTTGAAAACCAGAAATAACAGAACACGACAAGAGTGTTCAAGCACAGACTATTAGTTGTTGAAGAAACAGACTACCCCAACATGACTAATACTGCTTTTATCAGATAAAGACAGTTTAGGGACAAAAGAGAAACTCATATTAAACCCCTACTGCTCAAATACAATGCAATATAAGGGGGAGGAGAATCACAACAGCTAAACACAGATGTTTTTTAAGACTGTCCTCAGGAAATCACAAAACTCATACAAAGGAGATTACCTACCCTAACAGAAAAAGGCTACACAGAAGCGTAAAGCAGCACAAGGGAAACTTGCACCAATATCAAGAAGCCCCAGGTCCCACATCAGTAATACTTGTTATGAAAGCTGTTCTTCCCTGGGTAGATAATTTTATTTATGCGAGTTTAAAATCCAGCCTAATAATAATAGAAGGATACACCACTTGTAAAAACTCAGACTTAACTACTGCTTAACAATAAACACCCTTCACAACCTTACAATTTGAGAGCTCATCTTTCAATTCAAATACCAAACAACTATGAAAAGTATATGATCTGAATCTAACTTAAATGCTCTAATAAATAAAAGAGTGAAGCAGAATAACCACTTAGAGGTTAGGTTAAAAAAATCTACTTAATATTTTCTAAAACAACAAGCCAACACGTGAAAACTGGCATCAAGTGAATGTTACAGCTATGCAATCTCAATTTAAAATAATTTAATCATTAATTTAAAAATATATTTAATTTCTAAACATAACCACAAACAAAAGAAAATGCATTGATATGCTGCTATATTGAGAGAAAAATATTCTAGCCAAACTATTTTTATAGTAGCATTTTTAATTAACTATACCTTCATTTTATTACAATGCAGGTTTTACCCTCCCAACTTACCTAATATTTTCTGCTTTACACACAACCAGACAAAAGGATTAAAATACCTTTACCTCTGTCTAGCAACAATGGCTTAACAATATTACCTTAAACACTATTATAATTTAAAATAAAATGAAATGCAAGTTATACACATCAGGGATCTTTGTATCAAAGGCAAAAATAAATATGTAACAATTATTAAACTAAAAAACATAAGCATATATATTTTATATATATAATACTTACACTAATGTCATTAAGAACATTAGAAGCCTGTTCATGCTTTAGATTTCCTTTAATGACATGGTATGATAACTCATAAAGAGCTTGCTGGAAATCTGTTGAATATAAAAGAGAGTGTAAGGACGCACAGTCTCTTGAACATGAAAGGTAGATACACTGGGGAAGACCTATATATTTCCTACTTCTCAGAATTATTATAAGCATCAATAATGATAAAAAATACACTTCTAATGCTTTAACAGATTTTTTTCCTTTTATTTTCACAAAAACACACTACTAAAAGAGTAGGAAAAAGTTAACCCTGACTCCACTACTATAACTATTGCTTGAGCATTTCCTTCTAATCTTTTCCTGTATGTCTATATATTTTACATATTTGCATACACGGCACACATCATTTGGTATTCTGATTCCCCCACACCTTTATTTATTTATTTTTTTAAGCTGAGCCATCCTTCCACCTGTTGGCAGCTCAGCGGCTGCACAGCTCAGGCCGGGAATCGAACTGCTGTTGCTCAGAGCTCAAATTCTTGAGCGAGCTCTTAACCAACTGAGCCACTCGGCCGGCCCTTCCCCCATACTTTTAAAAACATGTTCTCATGCTACCAAAGTCTCCAAAATTATTTTCAATGACTGCATAGAAATCCAGCAAGTAGACATAAACTAAATTAACCATTCCTCTCACATGCAGATTGCACAGGTTTTTCTAAATATATTCAAATTATAGTCAATTCAATCTCAGGGCTACATTGACAAAAGGTAAAGCATAGCAGTAAAAAATAAAATCAAGGGCCAGCCGAGTGGCGCGTTGGTTAAGAACTGGCTTGGGGATGCCAGAGGGCCCCGGTTCGGATCCCACCTATGAAGGCCAGTGACACTGCCCTCTACAGCTAAGATGCTGAACAACAGCTCAACCTGGAACTGGGCTGCTGTGAGTCACTGGCAATGGTGTAGGCTGCAGCCCCTGCTGCAGTGGGTTGCCATGGGCTACCGTATGTAGCCAGCAGCCAGCATGAGCGGCCAGCAGCCGCAGTGAGCGGCCGTCCAGAAGCCGGCGACTGATCTGCCTCACCCGGAAAGAGCGCAATGATGGTGCCAACTTGGGCCAGTGAAGCAACGTCCTCCACAACTAGACTGAAGAACAAAAAATGACAGCAACTTGTCTGTTCCCCTTCCCCCAATTCCCCAGCGCTGTTCCCATCCCCCAATTCTCCAATAAAAATCTTTTTTAAAAAAGTAATATATAAAAAAACAAAGAGGATAGAATTTTACAATGAAATAAATTAATCCATTATTTGCTAAAGAAATATAGCCAGATTATCCCAATTCCTTGTGAAGAATTATTTAAATATATATTTACCTTCTGTTATATATGGTTGACCTTTTTCACAAATATGCCTTCATTATGCTTATAATAAACTATATAAAAGCTAAAATGCAAAGGAAAAGCTTTCTACTTATTAATATAGTAGGAATGACATGAGGTCAATTTCATGCTTTGAATTTCTATTAATAAAATGCTTTTATAATAAATAATACTCATTTAAAGTTATCTAGAGAACTAAGATTTTTTTAAAAAGCAATCACTCTTAGAAGGACAAAAGGGCTGAGCATAAACTAAATTCCCATAAGAATATAGGCTCATAGGGGCTGAGGGAATTCTAATCATAAGCACAGGAAATTAAAATAGAGAACAAATGGCCCAGGTCATTTAGCTGATACTAAGTGACAAAAAAACATCACAATGTAATTTACAAAGTAGCAAAATAGTCCCCAATTCACATGTTATTTAAAGGCCCATTTACGTGGTTAGGAACTCCTATTGTATTTTATCTACAAAAACAGTAAGTGGTGCCTTAAGACTATCAGGCTACCCCCACAAAATCCTATAAAATGTATACTGAAAAGTTGAAAAACTTTGTATTTACAATTGGGAGGAAAACTTACAACCCTTATAATCATACACAAAAAATAAATAAAAGGTTTTATCTTAATGCTAACACTTCAGAAAAAGTAGTTTTAAGAACAACCAAAAGTAAAAGGGACTTCTAGAGATTCTTAGGTTTTTTGTGGGATATGAACATTGAAGACATCAGTTTTTTTTTAAAGATTTTTTTGGGGAATTGGGGGGAGGGGAACAGTGTTGGGGAATCGGGGAAGGGGAACAGAGAGGTAGACAAATTGCTGTTTTTGTTCTTCAGTCTAGTTGTGGAGGACGTCGCTTCACTGGCCCATGTTGGTATGATCACTATGCTCTTCCCGGGTGAGGCAATCGGTCGCCGGTCATTGGTCGGCCGCTCACAGCAGCTCCCAACAGCACTCACCGGCTGCCCACCGCTCACGCTGGCTGCCAGCCACTCACGTAACTCATGGCAGCCCACTGCAGCCCTGCTGCAGCCTATGCCATCGCCGGTGACTCACAGCAGCCCAGCTCTAGGTTGAGCTGTTGTTCATCATCTTAGCTGTAGAGGGCGAGCGTCACTGGCCCTCAACGTGGGATCCGAACCGCAGCCCTGCTGCTCAGAGCTGGCATCCCAAGCGAACTCTTAACCAGCTGAGCCATTCGGCCAACCAAACACATCAGTTTTTCATTATGTCAAATATCACTGACCACTCATGTTTATCAGCCATCATTACAATGTTATTTTATTGGGGGAAAGCGACTTACAAAAAGAACAAGTTGAAGTAGTGTGTGCAAAGGAAAACTGCCTGCCTAAAATGAAATTAATTCAAGAAAAGGGCAGAAAGGGCAAGGACTGAGGGAACACTACCCAAATTCAATCCCCCTTAGATAAAGGAAATTCTGAAGAAATGACATTCACTCTCCTGCATGGACTACCAACTTGGGTGCTCAAACCAAAGTTTGATTGTTGGCAGTTATCAGCCAGAGTGTACATGCTGAAAAAGCTGGCAAGGGCAAGCCAGAGAGCACCAGCAATTTAGCCAATGAGACCATACTCATAACTATTTTTGGTTTCATACATGAATAAGAGCCAAGCAAATTAACAATAATCTGATAGTTATTAAAGATCCACACAGCCCCCATTTAAAACTAAAAGAGTAATCAGCCTGTCTTATGCTATTTATAGTTTTCCTGAGAATGCTTTCTTTCCGCTTAAGGTTTTTCAACTGCAAACAAGATCAAAGTTAACTGAGAACTTAACAATTTGTTTTAAGCATGGGAAAGAAACAAATTAAGTATACAGTGCTTTTAGAGTCTTTTTTTTACTTTCTTATACTTCTGGCAGTCAACTTCTTATTCAAAAAAGAAAGCACTATATCAACCAGAAATCTTTATGAATGGTAATGCAATTTTATAAGCGGGATGAATTGGAAAACAACTCTGGGGACTCAGGCTAGGAATGTTAAGTCTTAAAACAGGCCTTACCCAAATGACAGAAAAAAAAATGGCTCATTCATTTGTTGAAAAATGCTTTCCACTCAAAAAAACAAATTTTCTTTTAAAAGTATATACTCATATGAAGAAATAATTAATTTTTGATAAAACAAAAGTAACCATGGACAAAAACATTCTGTTCTTAATCTATTCACAAAGGCATAATTTAAATAATTCCAATAAAGTTAATAATTTTTGGTTTAAAATAGAATATTGGTTATAAATTATATTTGCCAGATCAAAAAAAAAATGGTATGGGTCTACCCCCAATGAAAGCTACATATGAAAATGCTTTAAACTTACTAGACATAATTGCTTTTGTTCTTGCCCCTCCTTTTCTAAATCCATATGCCTAATTTTAAATTAATAAATATTAAATAATAACATCCTTCAAAACTAAAATAACTGGAAATTTATATCCTGTTTAATTATATAATATTTTACTTAATAAACTATATTTGTGATATGCAGTAAACTCCTTTTTTTAATAAAGATTTTACTGGGGAATTGGGGAGGGGAAAAGTGTAGGGGAATTGGGGAAGGAGAATATTGTGTTTTTCCAGAACCCATCAGCTCTAAGTCAAGTTGTTGTCCTTCAGTCTTAGTTGTGGTGGGTACAAGCTCAGCTCCCAGTCCAGTGGCCACTTTCAATCTGGTTGCGGGGGGATTGGGGCAGCCCACCATCCCATACGGGTGTCAAACTGGCAACCTTCTGCTAAGAGCACGTGCTCTCACCAGTTCAGCGGCAGCTCAGCTCTGGCGCAGCTCAATGACCCACGTGGGAATCGAACCAGCGACCCTGTAGCTCAGAGCTCGTGCTCTAACCAACTGAGCCACTTGGCCGGCCCTGCAGTAAACTTCTTTTGCCATTTCATGTTTTCCATGACAATTGCCTTTAATAAGATCCCAAGATAACCAGCTTTAGTAAAAATACTGAAACTCAATTTCTGGAAATTTCCTAGAGTAAGATCACAATAGTTTTTCTTCCAGTGCTAGATATTCTCTTATATTTATGACAATAAGTAGCCTGTGTAATACTTTTTTAAAGATTTTTATGGGAACAGCGCTGGGGAATTAGGGAAAGGGGAACAGACAATTGCTGTCTTTTTGTTCTTCAGTCTAGCTGTGGAGGACGTTGCTTCACTGGCCCAAGTTGGCACCATCATTGCGCTCTTCCCGGGAGAGGCAGATCAGTCGCTGGCTTCTGGACGGCCGCTCACGCTGGCTGCTGGCTACACATGGTAGCCCATGGCAACCCACTGCAGCAGGGGCTGCAGCCTACACTGTCGCGTCGCCGGTGACTCACAGCAACCCAGCTCCAGGTTGAGCTGTTGTTCAGCATCTTAGCTGTAGAGGGCAGTGTCACTGGCCCTCATATGTGGGATCCGAACCGGGGCCCTCTGGTGTCCCAAGCCATCTCTTAACCAACGCGCCACTTGGCCAGCCCTGTAATTTTTAACACAGCTAGCAACTGCTGAATATACCATGTCACAATTATAAAAACCACGCAATATCATATGACTATTATGCAGGTCAAATAACATCCTTATACAAAAATATATAGTCTTACTGTAACTATAGTTTTTATTTTAACTGTAATATATTCATACAAAAGCTTTATATAATGTGAACTATCTTATACCTTTTGTTTTCATTCAAAACAATTTGATGGAAAACAGGATATTTATTAATTTTGAGCAAGCCAAAAATAATAGCTATGATACTTTTAAAAGTCTTACCTCTATAAGTCGAACTATCATGACTTTTATTTTCACTGAGGATCCGGCATAAATGCAAACTAGAATAAAACAGAAATAGTCTGCATTAATTTCAAATCCTAACATAGATGGTTCTTACAGAGCAAATTATATTGACTAAAAATATTTGGCAACGTATCAGATATTTAAATCCATTAGTTTATAATGAGAATAAAACAAACCTAAAAATCCTAATTTGTCAGAACTGGAGGATGCTAGTGAATCAATTTATGATTTTGAAAACTGGTAAAAGAATAAAAAAATCAAGCACTTATTCTGCCTTCATATAAGAAGCAACAGTTGATAAGAAATGTCTCTGTATTAAAAGTATTTCAGCTAATAAATGAAGGAATGATAAGATTACATCATTATTTTAAGATTCCTAATAAATTAAAAGATCTAGGCATCTATCAATGGCTATTCACATCACAAGAAGAGAACATCTCACATTATATGCCTCCTAATCCTGATGAAAGAATACACTACCTACCTATGAAGTTGTCAAAAAAATTAAACGGCATGAACCTGAATTCACTGTGGGAAACTCTACAGGACAATGGCTCAGTCTCTTCAACAAATGTATATTGCTATAAAAAATAAAAGATGATGAGGGGTCCCTCAGAGTAAAAAAGGTATAAGACAGACAGCAATCACAATGCATGAATCCTTACTTGGATCCTGTTTCAAACAAGTATTTTAAAAATTAACGTGAGTACATTTTTTATGAGTCAATTTTAATATTTTATAAAGACCCCATCTTTGAGATAAATCCTGAAATATTTAGAGATGAAATTATATTTAGTTCAATAGAATGGGAAAATGGGAAGGGTTATAGATGAAACAGAATTGGCCAGCAGTTGACAACTATAGAAGCTGGTTGATGATATCATTGAGACTATTATACCATTCTAGTTTCTCATCTGAGATTTTTCCCCAATAATAAAATTTAAAAACAAAAAACTGAATTTTTCAACAAATTGAAAAAAATACTTGTATTTTGAATACCTCTTCATTAGATTAACTTACATACAGCAAAGAAGGTTATACAGGCTACAGTGAAAACAGGTATGCTCACTTGGAACTCCAGGAAGGAGAGAGAATGGGGCAAAATCAATATCTGAAGAAATAATAACCAACAATTCAGTTTTCCAGAACTAAAATGAAATCCACATCTGGGTACATTACATACAGTAAAGCTACAGAAAACCAAAGACAAAATCATTTAAGCAACTAAGAAAAGAAAGACAATATTATCTTCATGACTTCTCAACAAAACAGTGAGTGCCACAGAGAGCTGAAAAATATATGTAAGGTGCTAAAGCAAAGTATCTGCCAACCTAAAATTCTATAACCCAAAAACCAAAATTGCAAGAAGAGGCAAAATAAGGACTAAATTTCAAACAATAATTGAGTTCACACACTAAAAGAAAAGCTTAAGGACATTCTTTAGGCAGGATATAAATAATTCTAGATAGAACCTTAGAGCTGCAGCAAGAAATGACAAGGGAAAAAGTGGTAAGTGTATGTGATATGGACCAAATGAAAGAGCCCCTCCCTTTTTAAGTCTCCTTATCCCTAGTTTCTTAGCTCCCTGGTCCGAGGTCCTAATCACTTTTTAAATCAGTTTCTTAATCTTAAACAAAAGATTGTTCCTAGCCTGAATCACAGAAAGTGTCCTACCCCGTGCTTCAGATAATTACCCAGAAACTTGTGATTTATGCTTGTTGATTGTAATCATTGTGGCCCAGCATTCTTTCTAGGTCATTCTGGGCCCAGCTCCTGGGTGAATAAGGCCACCTGAACGACCAGTTAAACCAGAGGAAAAAGCCACAGGCTCCAAGAAGCTAAATGGACTTTCCATCACATAGTCACCCTGCGTCAGTAGCTTTGAGTCCTGCTTCTTGGGCCAACACTTTTAAATCTATTAACAAAATCTATCTCTCCTCATCCAGGGGCCATCAGGATACAAATGATACCCCAGCAAGGTTTCCAGTACATCCCAGCCAAGGAGGCCAACGCAGTCTTCCAGGTGGATCCCGAGACCCCTTCCTCTCATCTAAGATCAGATAGGGCGAGAGTTCTGTGAATCCCCAATAGGTAAGGACAACAACTACATTCAGCAGGAAGCAGATACAGAAGAAGAGACCTTCTGTCCCTCAACTTCCCATAGAGATTTATGGGGATCACACCTCTCGAGAAAATAAGGCAGGCAGTTAGAGGCAGCAATTGGGTCTCCAAATATTCCTGCACGTCCAACACAACCTATGAAATGCGACCACCCAGAAACCTCCCCTCCACACCAAAAACTTTCCCTTATTTACTATAAACATCAATCACTATGAGGAAGCCAAAGGACACAAGATACCTAACTAGATTAGACTGGTCACTCACACCTGCGCAGTAAAGGCTACAATGACCTTCATTTCACTCTAGCCCAGGGGTCGGCAAACTGCAGCTCGCGAGCCAAATGCAGCTCTTTGGGTATGTTCCGTCTCAAAAGTTTGCCGACCTCTGGAAGAGCCAATCCTGTCCCTCACAACAATTTAAAAATCATTAAAGAGACATAAATATATATTTTACATAATCACCATTATGTGAATAATATCCTTCAAAAACCTTACAAATGGGGCTGGCCGAGTGGCTCAGTTGGTTAAGAGTTGGCTTAAGAGCGCAAGCTCTGAACAACAGGGCTGCCGGTTTGATTCCCACATGGGTCAGTGATGCTGCACCGGAGCTGAGCTGTCACTGAGCTGCATGTGTAACAACAAGATTGCACAGCAACTTGAGCTGAGCTGCTGCCCAGATGGCTCAGTGGATAGAGCATCCACTCTTAACAACAAGGCTGCCGGATTCAACTCCTGCATGGCATGGTGGCTATGCCCACCCACAACTAAGACTGAACTCGGCAACTTGAGCTGAGCTGCATGCAGCCCGGATGATTCAGTAGATAGAGCATGTGCTCTTAACAACAAGGCTGCTGGTTCGACTCCCGCATGGGATAGTGGCTACACCCACCTGTAACTAAGATTGAACACAGTACCTTGAGCTGAGAGGCCATGAGCTGCCGACGGGAAGCCAGATGGTGACTGGCACCCTACACAACGAAAACTGAAGAACAACTGGGCCAGTCCCTCCCCCAATTCCCCAAAAAAATCTTTAAAAAAATTCATAAGTGAAACTATGCTAGCTTTATTTTCATTTTCAATCTTACTTGAGCCACACATATATACCCAAAGAGCTGCATGTAGCTCACGAGCCGCAGTTTGCTGACCCCTGGCAGCTCTTCTATCTCAAAAGTTTGCTGACCCCTGCCCTAGCCTCATTATACCATCATTGTACTATCATACATATGCCTGGAAGTTCATTAATATCATTAAAACAAACTGAATTCTGGGAAGGAACATCCGCAGTCTGAAAAGATGTAATAGTCTCCTGTCAATCATAAGTACCAATCAAGACTACCCACACCCAGAGAGGAGTAGCCCATTCTAGAAGAGAAAGAAATGAAAACACCCAAGTCCTAGCCAGTCGGTGCCTTTTGAGCCACTCTGTTCCTCCAGATCACTCCTATCCCTTTGGAGTGTACTTTCACTTCTAATAAACTGTTCTTTTGCAACTGCCTTTTGGTGTCCCACTCAATTCTTTGTTCGGGATACCAAGAACCTGGACACAGGGCCGAGGGGAGTCCATGCTCCAGTAACATATGGATAACTCTAAATGAATATTAACTGAATAATAATAAGTGTCTTGTGGTACTTAAACATGTATAGTATTAAATATTTAGAAATATAAATGGAAAAATAATATTAAAATACATCAAGATTAATGTAGGTTTATCTCAAACACATAAGTTTAGTTCAAATTAATTCACCACATTAAACTGACTTTTTAAAATCACACTGTAGGGCCGGCCGAGTGGCACGTTGGTTAAGAGCTGGCTTGGGACGCCAGAGGGCCCCGGTTCGGATCCCACATATGAGGGCCAGTGACACTGCCCTCTACAGCTAAGAAGCCAAACAACAGCTCAACCTGGAGCTGGGCTGCCATGAGTCACCAGCGACGGAGTAGGCTGCAGCCCCTGCGGCAGTGGGTTGCCATGGGCTACTGTGTGTAGCCAGCAGCCAGCGTGAGCGGCCAGCTGCCAGCGTGAGCGGCCAGCTGCCACCATGAGCGGCCGTCCAGAAGCCGGCGACTGATCTGCCTCGCCCAGGAAGGGCACAATGATGGTGCTAATGGGACCAGTGAAGCAACGTCCTCCAAAACTAGACTAAAGAACAAAAGGACAGCAACTTGTCTGTTCCCCTTCCCCCAATTCCCCAGCGCTGTTCCCATCCCCAATTCCCCAATAAAAATCTTTAAAAAAATAAACAAAATAAATAAAATCATACTATAGTTCAATAGATGCATAAATGATATTTGACAATATTCAACATCTATCACTATTTTTTTAAAAGACTCTTAGAAAAATAGGAATAGAAGGGAACTGTTACAATTTGAAATTAGCAGTTCTGACAGTATGGTTCACAAACCCTTGATCCCCAAGACACTTTCTGGAGCTCTACAAGATCTGAACTATATTGTAAGAATACTAAGATTTCATTTCCTTTTTTTGCTGTAATGACATTTGCACTAATAGTTCAAAAACAAAGGAAGATAAGACTGTTGGCATCTTAGCATGTATCAACGCAAAAACACAAAACTGTCTCATTGAATTCTTCATGATCAAGATATTGAAGGAAAGAATAAAGCCAGTCTCATGTAAGATGCCACCAAACAGTTTCATTATATTTTTCATGACTGTTCACAAACAAAAGCCAGTTTCACTTAGGAATGTCCTCGATGGGAGTGACATCAGCAAGATGGCAGCATAGGAAGCCCCAGGCCTTCCTTCCTCCCATGGAAACATCCATTCAACAGTAATACTTGTACACATACCAATTCCCTTTATGAGAAATTCAGAAACCAGTTAAGAGGCTCCTGCACTCAAGGCAAGCACTATGCCAGCTGCATTAAAGCGGGTAGGAAAATTCATGACACCCTT